AAAGGATTGCTTTAGTTATGATGGATAAATACCATTCAGGAAGCTGCTCGTTTGTTAGAAAACACATCGATGCATACGTCGCCCATGTTGAAGAATTTACGGTTCCGTTTGACTTGATGGGTCTTGCGATAGGATCACACGGAGCCAATATCCAGAGCGCACGGAACATTGAGGGTGTTGAAGATATACAGCTCGTGGAGAGCAATGATGGTCACACTCCAGTACTTTTCAAGGTTAGCAGCAATCTATGTATCAAGCGGTTCATGAATTACGGCTCATGGCTATTATTCACGCTCCTGTTATTTGCGTCCCGGAGAAAAGCCCAAGTTATTTGTCATCGAGAAAATTCAGGTGAACTCGGCTCAGGTAATGAATGACTTGTAGGTATTTGCTCAGAATGCTGAAGCTGCAGCTGCAGCTCGTTCACAGCTGGAATATGCTGTAGAATCGTTCGACGTACCTCGTGGAATGGTTGGCAAAGTGATCGGTAAATCGGGTAAAACGATTCAGGTAATGATCAATTTTTGCACGAAAGGTAATATGTAAGTTGGAATTTCATTCAGTCCATACTGTGATCATCGACTCTTCAGGATATCGTGGATAAGTCAGGTGTTGTACGCGTGCAGATCGAAGGCGGTGATGGCCAAAATCGAGTTGATGAGAATGTAAGACCATTTTTATTTTCTTCCGTCTTCCAAATTGGATGATTTCGAAACTTATCTGAATTTGTTTGTACTTACTGCCAAGTTGATATTTTCATTTAGGCCGACGAACCAGTGCCATTTGTTTTTACGGGTACAAAAGACGCGATTTCGATGGCAAATCTGCTGATCGAATATCACTTGCGCCATTTAAAAGAAATGGAGGAAATGCGGTTGAATGTAGATGAGATGCAACGGCAGCTCTATTCCAGGTCAACTCCTCCCCCCGCTGGAATGAATGGCAATGGGTAATTGAGAATTTGATGAAGCACAGCTGAAAAAATTTGATTACAGCTTTTGACTAATTTGGGGTTGAAGTTTTGCATCTTTGAATCTCAAGTTTTGCAAACCTGTGTGTATGTTGACTTAATTTGGCTTATTGTTTTTTCCTGTGGTTTGTTGCAAGGGGCTATTGTTTTTTTTTCCTGTAATTGGTTACAAGGGTTATGTTTTTTCCTGTGGTTTATTACGAGGGTTAAAAAGGTATCGGTTTTCAAATCAGGGTGTGTCGCCATTTGGGAATTTTCACCTGTAAATGTTGGACAGTGAAGCAGGTAAGAGTAGAGCTGGTTCATCATAGCAACAAACCAGGTGTTTGCTGTTTTATAATTTCTTATTCGTGTAAAGCATGTTTTTTTGTATTTGCTTCTTTGGCTTCAAATTGATTTTGTTGTTTACTCACTCAGTCAGAAAGATTTAATATCATTTCTTTTAGCTATCGATTTGAACGCGCTGGCTATGAAGGAGGAAATTTTGGAAGTGGGCGCGGTGCACCCTACAGAGGACGTGGTCGCGGCGGTTCTTTTCGTGGTGGATTTCGTCAGAATAGGGGTATATTTTTCCAGTGCTCACTGTGAAGTCTTTTGATGACAGCCTGCTTTTTTCTTATAATCCCTAGCTTCCAAAATTGTTTCGGTTATTTAAAAGAATTTTATTGCAGGTGGCGGTGATCAGGATGAGCGGCGTCGTCCAGCGGATGATGAAAAAGGAGGTGAGAAGGAAGAAAACGTTGAACGAGAAGCTCGTCGTATTGCTTCTGGTCGTATTCGTGGGGGTCCTCGGCGTGGAGGTTGGTTTATAGCACTGAAAAAACATGCATTCTGGATATTATACTTTATTTCAAATCAAACTATCAGTGTGAGAAGTAGGATGAACCTTGGTATCTGTGAGAAACTAGTGTAATAAAGAATTAGAATTAATCGCAAGCAGGGATTCTGTCGTTAAATAATATATTAGTCCATTGTGATATATTCCGAAGTGGAGGCGACTGCTTGGGAAGAATTCAGAAGATGGACTTTGGTTCTGCGAAAGAATGAAAGTTGTTCATAAGTGCTTACTGCTGAAGTTCATAAACTCCGAATTTTGTTTTAAATTAGGTTTCACAGTCAACATCTACCACATCGTCGTAGATGTATGGATCTAGACTGCCGAAAGTCGGTTTTGGTGTGATTTTAAATATCGCTTATGTGTTTTCATTCTAGGCAGAGGTCATCCAGGACAGGCAGTTAACGGAAGCGGTTGAGGATGCATTAGAGTTATCAACTGATGTGGCTGTTAAAGGATCAACCTCGAAATTTTAGTGGATCTAAGAAAAGGAATTTTTTGAGTTACGTCCTTCATATGCATTTTTTGCTGTTTTGACTAGTTGTTATGCACTAAGTTTTGTTGGTTGTTTTTTCTCTTTTTCATAAATTCACACTGGTTTCCATCAAAACAAATCCGTTCTTTCCAAATTAAAACGCGTATTAGAGTTCCATTTGCGTGTGTGTGTTTTTCAATTGTTTCGTTTGTTTGTTTTACAGTTGCTATTTATGGTATCCCAAAGACAGTGTGCTTCGTAGTTCAGGGAAATTGTTGTGGAAATAAGTTAATCCTATTAAGCTTGCGATGTTGTATCCATTCCAGGTATTCCCTCCTGATTAGTTTTAACAAACTGCATTATAATATTTTGGATCTGCAAAGTCTATAGCGTACAGTCACTGTCATTTAATTTTAAACCATTTTTGCTTCCAATGCTTTTTTGTTTTCGAGTTTGTTCTTTTTATTACATGATTATCCGATTACTGCAGTTATACAATATATGCAGATTTACGGTGATCTCTTCCTCACCACTCCTCGTATTCTTAAATCCGAGAAGTCTCTGAAATGTTTCAGAGTTTTCGTCAGGTTTCTGATTGATTTCGCTCTAGTTGCCCAGCCACATGTTTCAAAATAGCTTTCAAAATAACTCAATTTCGAGAAAGTTCTCGGTTGTGTGTTTGATGGGATCGTGTATTCTTTTTTGCTAATAAGATATATGAAATAAAGTTCATTTTTGCTGAAAATGATCAACACTATTCATCGGCACGAAGTTGGACGAAAAGATAAACAATTATCAATCGTCATTTAAGAATGTTATAGGCATTCGGCGAACCCATCATAAAGCGTTCAATATGAGGATTTTTACATATGAAATTGGACCAGTTCACGATCGTCTTGATGTTGTTACATTTTTCATGAATCCCTCTCGACATCCGATTTAATGAATAACTGCTGAATTCACCCGTCATCCCAAATAATGCTGTTACCGCCTTGCAAGGAACTTCAGCAAAAATTACAAATATGACAAATTACGGGTTTCATATGGAAACGAATTTTCCTCAGTACTTTATTCACAATAACGGAGGTAATGGTAGCATAACGCGCTGCAGAGTGTTTTAATGGTTACCTTCGTAGCACTAAACACCTCCTTTATAATTGTGTCCAATCTTTAATTGAAGAAGCATGAGATTCGAACATAACAAAATAATGTTATTGAGACCAATCCTCAGCATAAAAATCCCGACATTTAATTACAAAAACCAATTTTGTGGAAGAGCTTCAAAGAAGAAAAGTACAAGTGAAAATATAAAATTGGCAAAAAATATCTTTGAGAGGAGAAATGGAACAATTTGAAGGCAAATTCCCACACATAAATTTTTCACAGAGAAATGAAACAAATCAGTAATGAGTTAGGAAACACGAAATATTCCAACTCCGGTATATTTCCATAAGATGGACCTCATGCAGTTATTAATAACGACTCCCTAACAATAAGAAAAAAAAAACTTCATAAACACCTGCAAAGGATGATCGGAAACTTCGCAACAGTTATTTAAATTATTATTAAAACTACATGCAAAGATATTAACTCTTTGTTAAACTGCCTAATAAAGGATTTGATTAGCACTGTCTTTTGTTTACCACAACCACCCTGATTCATAATTCTAGAAAATGAATGACATCAACTGCTGATGAAGAGGAGCTTCTGTGTAGTCTGGTAATAAAAAGTTAAATAAATTAAGATAATGAGAGTTTCAAATCAAAATGAGAAATTGAAAACGCAAAACCACAAGCACCAACAACTGAACATTACGTCATTTCGAAAATATGAGGAAAGGAAAAAAGTCGCTAACCGGCAAGCAGTTTCTCCATGAATAACTCGGTTAGTTTAACTACACTAGATTCACCGTATATCATTTATAGTTATATGTAAAACCTTGCATAAAATATAGCTAAATCTAATCTGTTCAAGAAGAAACACATGACAGGATAAAACACGAAAAGCTTTCAAAAAGAACCGATCAAAATGAATCAATATTTTATTAAAATTGTGTGTCAGAGACCATGAACCTTAGAGCAATATTACCATTATGCAAGAAAAAATTATTTTTATAAGAATGCAGGTCTAACCGCTTAACTTTATTGCAAATATTTCAAATAGAAAATACACGTGTAATATTCTTTTAAAAAAAAGACTTTAAGCTACCGCATCTCAGAAAGTATTCGAATGCAATCATAGTAAACAATAAAGGAAAATAAATTACAGTGAATGCTTACGGCAAACACTATCCTTTTGTTGCTGAGCGATGACATGCACAGATCGCATTGTGAGTCCTCCTGGATGTTCTTCAGTTTCCAGCACTGCTCTCGGCCCATAATTTTCACCGACGATGAAGCTTTGTGTCCATTCCCAATACCACTGATAGCAGTCACTTTTCGACGGATCACTACTATTCAGTGCACTTAAAGAATAAAATTTTGAAACTCACCACTTTCAAGGTTTCAACGAAGGGAATGTCATTATAACAGGATATGCCCGTTACTAAACACATGCACTACAACATCTCAAAATTGTGAATAATTTTGATGCGCATGACCATTGATTTGGTCTACTATAGCGCAAAAACAACTGTGATATATATATTTTTTTCTCTCCCACTCCTTCTTATCAACATCTTTTTGGAAGAAACTAAGAAGAAAGATACTGTTTCTTTGCAATAATTGACTTCCAGAAATTTACACAACATTGCGCTTTTTCGAACTGTTCGGTAAAAACCGATGATCCCTGAGATGTCGGGTTGAAAGCATATAGTTTCCCGTGGCTTCTGGACCAGCACATAATCCATGGGTCTAAATGTGATAATTGGACATGGAAATCAGTGCAGTACTAAACGTTCCAGTTATTTGACTTCAGTTATTTGACGTTATTTATTTGAGCCTATTGTTTTGAAATGCTCAAACTTAAAGACAAATATTTGGGAATAAATTCGAAGAGATATATGTCCTTTACAAGCAATGATTTGTGTAAGGAGAGTGTGATCCTTCCGATCTTAATTTGTAGACTAGTGAACTATGAATAAAATATGAATAAAACAGTTATCAAGATTGCCTTGTCATTCAGTAGCAACCAGATCCTTCATAAGCACAAATTTAAGAAAAAACCAACTAATCAAAATCGAAGTAATTCGCATTCCACGACAATAGAAAAAAGACAACAACAATTCATCGCCCTCTTCAATTACTGCAACTTCTTCACCTTTTGCAAGGATAACATGAAATCGCCGCATCTCAGAATGAAGTTCATCAAGCATGAACACCTGGAAATAACTCCAAACGGTTTTTTAGAAAACTGCAAAGTAAAACATATTCTTTTAATTGCACAACTGTTTCGGATAAGAATGCAATCTGCATCAACAATCGTTTTTGTTACAGAGATTAGCGAGGTAAAAAAAAAAGAAAAAAGGAAAAGAAAACTTCATTCTGAGATGCAGAATGAAGTTTCTTTTTTCTCACTAATTATAAAAACATTTCATGTTTATAACGGAGAGCATTCCATGGATATCTAACGAAAACTAACCATTTTCCTTCTGCTGCAACGATGTTTTAGCCATTAAACTATTCCCTACTATGAATTTTTTTCTATTCCCTGTTATGACTTCAAAGCTCCCAGTAAAACTTAATAATTGACCTATATTTTTTACTAGATAAGATTTACCGAACTAAATACGCTGCCTTAGTACCACCTTTTTTATTGAACAGAAAGCTGTTACAGGAAGAAAATCGGCTGTTGGTATTTTGTTGCTTTGGTACCATTTCTTACTCGTAATTAATCATTTAGGAAATAAACTTACTTTTGCAGGAAAAACTGGTGCAACTTTTCTATCAGGTGTTTCGTACACAGATTTAATAGCTTTACACATTTTTCGAGCTGCTGCCATTCTTTCATCGAAAGGGAGCGCAGAAACATCATCACCATTTAATAATGCTGCATCAAGAATCCGAACTGCCGCTTGCTCGCCTTCTAATCTCCCTTTGTCATCCAACTGTAATTAAACGGTACATCACAAAGCAATGGACTCATTTACTCTTGAACGGGACAATTCATTGTGGTGAGCCAAAACATGCCCAACTTCCCGTATTTTCCAAAACAACGCCCTTATCCCGCTCTTGGATCTTCAACCATTAAATGGTAACTCTAATAGAATGAATGGAAGACGTGAAAAGAGACACAAAGATGAAAATGAGAACTACACTAAAGAAATCCGACCAGTTTTTGATCATGAAACTTTCTGCTAGAATCGCATGTATGAACAAATTTAAAGGAAGAGAAGCCTAACCCCTTTGTAAGCTTTAGTAATTTGTACAAGCAACACTGTATCTTTCGGTATATTGACATCGAAGGGAACTCTTTCGAAACCCTGTTGAGAGTATGATGAATAAAAATAAGCGCCCATTTGCTAAAAAATAACAGAACTATAACAGTTTTAAACAAATTTCGGCTCTTCTAATAGGAAATCAATTTGATTTGTAAAGTCTTCTCTTACTGTAAAGTGTAAAATACCAATTAAAAAACTGTAAAATATCATTTGAAATCACAAAGCTATCCATTTATCAGCCGAAAATGGATTGATACATCTTTTAAACGCAAATAAAGTCACTATTAAAAATAGTAAATTTTTGCTTAAGGGGTATGCACCCATTTAACTATGAGTAGAACAAGACAACCCTGAGACATTATCGAAGATTGAGTTAATGACAGCGTCGATACTTGAATGATCAACTACTTCTCATGGAAGCTGACAGTTTTTGGTACAACTCTCTAAATATCGATAACTTGAAAGTATGTGAACCTTGAATATAAAGGCTTTTTACTGTGGCATACTTTAGCGTGGTTTTTTCATGAATACCTTGCATACTTTAAGAGGAGGTACAACCTCTTGGTAACAGTGACATATTGACAATTACGGTAATCCTAAGATACTTCAATAAACAGAACTAAGTAATTCCAAATAGAAAAAAAGACTCACAGTCGAGATCAACAGGACTGGAACCTCCTTTTCTGTGACGGCGCACATTCGCAACTCGGCATAACGCATTCTACTTCCTCCGGACGACAGAACACTTTTCGTGAAAGCTGCTGGCTTTTGTTGCAATTCTTTAAAATCGATAATCTAAAATTGAGATTGCCTGATGCTAAAAACGTCAGAAAATATCTCGTGCACTTCCATATACTTCTGTGTTAAAATATTTTCTTAAACAGTAGACGACTTTTAATTGAAAGATTAATAAAACTGTTTCAATCAAACCTTGACAAGGCGACTGATAGCTGCAAATAATGATTCATTTGTTTCGTAGGGTTTTTTTTGGTTGACATCCGGAATTTTCCAATAATGCAAACATTCAGTTCTTAGCTTTTCTTGGTCTCGATCTAGCTGACTAGTATTTTGAGCGAAAACTCGATATTTATTCAAATAACTTATCTGTCTTTTCACCGTCCTGCAATGACACAATATATATATATATATATATGCTTACACAAAGCACATCCTATAAATATGCACCTCAAAATTGCATTATTGCTAATCAGAGATTACAAAACGATTGCGAATAATCAAGATTACAAAACGATTGAGAATAATCATAGATGTTCTAAAATAATAACCTTTCATTGTGTTCCAATATATACGTCATGAAAATTTTATCCGAATGGATCATATTTTCAGGAACAACTTCTATCACATCTCGTGCTTTAGTTTCCCACAACCGATCCAATTCAGCGTTAATTTTAGTCATGTATTTTTTCACTTCTGCGACATAACATCCCAGAGGATTATCGCATACAATATATCTAAAAAGGAATAATAAAGGAGGCGTTGTACGAAGGAGAATTTATAATCATATTACTGATTTATTTAAATATTTGAACTGATGAACGTAATGCATCTGTGTGATTCCAAAAACAATTTTTGTGAAAAATAGGCATTCCTTGTATCACCAACATCAATTAGTTGCTACTTTGTTCCATTAAGTTTGAACCTCCAAGATCACTCGAAATATACATGATATCATGAACAAATGCAAACATTTTCGTTTATCACTTTTACATCTTAAACTCATTAAGAATGAATACTGAAAATACTAGGCACTGACTTCTCTTAATGCTCAGATTCAGTTTATGAACCGAATTCTATTCACATCGTTTACAAGGAATTTTCGAATCTGAATATACAAAACAAACAGATGCCATGTTCTACATGAAATCTAAAGGCTAACCATATGGCATAATATATTATATAACGGTAAATGCTAAATCAAGGGGAAAAGTAACCTTTCCGAATTAGCTGGACGACTAGTATTAGGTTTGTGTATTGATATTCTTTCAAATACAATGTACATCAAATAGATAAGACCGACACTAAACGGTGTGAAAATGTCGAATAATTTACAAACAAATTTTCCACCAGTTACTGTGTTGCGTGTTTTGACACGCAGAACCGAAAGACCAGTCAAAAACTGACACAGATAAAGACGTTTTGATAGAATTTCCTGAAAATCGAAGTAAATTTGTAAATTTTTGGTAAATCCAACAATAAAATTGGATTTTCAATAAACATTTTTAGAAAAATCCTAATATATTCAAATTTCAAGAGATTTCATGGAAAGATACCTACAAAAAATTCAACATTGAAATCTAAAGATTAAAGAAATTTTGCCTGAATATTTTCCTGCTGATCGACGCAAAACCCACCATCAGCCATCACCAAATCTACACCAACGTTATTGGTACCGCGTTTCACAATCTGAGTTACTTCAAAGTAAGTTAAGAGCAAATTGTGAACGGGAAATAATTTCACTAATTTTAAACTAGGTTATTCGAAATTAAATCATTGGTTTCAGACGAAAAAACGACATCGAAAAACCCTTGATATTTTTCTGAATTTTTTACGGATCAGGATTTTGCAAAATGACATGAGCTATAAGAATTTTTTAATATATTCATAGCTTTTCTAAATAACAAAATATGAGCTAACTTCTTCAAATGACGTGATATTGTCTGGCTTGGTGACATCACCATCGTTGTGTTTACCATAATAAGGTTCGAAATAGGAAGGTGAAGCGGCCGTAAAACGTTTCAATTTGAAGTCATCTTTTCCTGTAAAAAAAGAAAAATTATTTTGGATAAAAAAATATTTCACTTTTCTTACTCTGGTTTCCTTGAAATCTATCACAGAATTTGCAAAACATGAATATATTTCCCCATCATTTATAGTCAAGTACGTCATAATTCATAGTGTCTATCACAAATTTTGTAAAAAATTTAAAAAATTCTTAACTTTTAACGTCATTCCGAAACCTCTCGCATTGTAGTAACCCTTTCTCCACAACACATATTCTGCGAATCCACCAGGACCAGCACATATGTCAGCAAAGTAAAACAAAGGCGACGATCGATCAGTATTTTTCCCCGGAGTTGCTACTCGCCATTTCTCATTTTTTATTTCCACGTTCATAGGATTTTTGATTTCAATATTATCCGGCTTTTCACTTGTTAATAGCCAATCATAGATACGATCCAAATTTGCCATTTTCATCGCTGCCCTTAAAAAAATATATCTTTTGATATCAATCCAACAATTCTGAAATATGGGCAACGGATTTACATAAGTTCTTCTAGATGATTTAGCTGATCGGAAAAAAATAGTTCACCAAGGTGGATTTTCTTAATACGCAAAAAAGAGATCCTAGAAAAGAAATTCGGCATTGATCAGAGTTCAATAAAAAGAGAAAAAACTGGAAAATTATAATTGAAAATATCTATGAGCGATGTATGAAGGATTATGTAATTTTGGCAGAATTAAAAACAAAAACAGCATCCGCATTTACACCATCTACATAAGAAAGAACTAATATAGAGTGTTACAACTTCACTGGTAAAGCCAATATACTGTCTATTACATCAATTTTTGCAATATTAAATGAATTACCGATTCTGAAAGAAAGCAGAACCGATTGTCTCATATGGATTTGCTCGAGTACGGGCTTCCTTTAAGTCTCTAACATCAAGCTGATCAAAAACGGATTTTGCATTCAACATTTTTTTCATTAACAAGTTATCACAATATTTCCATTCACCATCCAATGTCTCCTTTCGCTAGAATACAAAAATTATGAAGTTTCTTTAATGAAAAACTATGAAAATAATAAAAGTCAAAAAGTTATGAAAAATTATGAAATTGAAAAGATTTGGAAACTGTGAATTCTCCCCAACTCATTTGTTTTCCACTTTTCAGCCACGCATATAAAAAGCAAACCTACATCTCCAATGATAATCCAGTTGTCTTGATCTTGCAATTCCTTTATGAACTTCTCTCGAACGTCATCAGGAGCGGATAGCCATAATACATTTTCCTCCACAAGTTTTTCTTCCTCCGTAAAATCCCAAATTGCATTCCAATCCCGAGCAATTTTCTAAAAAATGAATGAGCAATTGTTTGATTTTAGATCACACATAGTGAAAAGCATCCAATTACAATAAGCAACAAGTCAGTTTTTCAAAATTCAAAAAACGCTACAGGATTTTTATATCAGAAAGAATTTATTATATAATGAATGTGGAAAGAATCAATTCTTCATCATCACCTGATTGGTAGGTTGTCCCAAACCTTCGCGACCTCGCTGTGTGGAAAATGGTATCAGTTCTGTGCGTCCTTGGCCGCTTTTACCAAGCCCACCACCATCGTATCCCATTTTAGCCAACAATGCTGCTCCCTTGTTTTCATAAACGCGCTTTGCCTAAAATGTTCCGCGAATTATATTTTAAGTGCAGGAATTATCAGGAAGTGCAGAAAAAAGATATATTCTTAGGAAAAATCAAGTGTAGGAAGAAGATATATTCTTTTTAATCCGAATAAAAGAGATAAAATACTGGAAAAAAAATCATTTCAAGCATGAGCAGGAAATAGTGGTAATCAAAACTTCCAAAGTTGAACAGATTAGAAAAATGATTTTTTTAGAACGGGCACTTTCTGGTAAAATCTCATCCCTTCCCTGTTGTGAGGAACAAATCATTGCTGCAGCAATTTAGGTCAAAATGTAACCCTTGAAAGCAGCAAAAAAGTGTACAAGCTGAAGGAATAAATCAACCTGTGTTTTAAACGAATGCCAAAAAGTATGAGACTTCAAAATAACACACTAAAGAATAAGTTGCTTACGAAAAATCTCTAGTTTATGGCCTTGTCTACAGACTATAAAATTGAGATTTTTTATAGACGTCATAGATGATTTTTGGATTTTTAGTTTATAGACGATTTTTGTAGAATCCCTAAAGCTAACTATTTTTGCAGGAATTTCACTGAAAGCATCATCCTCATCGTCACTATCAGTCAATTTTTCACTACTTCGAAATGGTTCCTTCATCGGCTTTGTTTCTTGAAGTTCTTCTTCAAAACCGTCTCGAATATCTTCCAAACGAGTGGACACCAATTGACGCATCATCTGGAACACCTATTTTACAAAAATGCAACACACATAGATGCTATCAATAAATTATAAAAATTTAAACAGAGATAAGGAAATAAGTCAGCAGCTGTTGCTTTCCAATTATACTTCACAGCTCGTTCTCTCGTCCTTTGTACCCTCTGCAAAGCAGACTAAGTTTTCTTGGAACTGAATAAGAATGAAGTACCGGCGAAGAAATACAATAATTGTTTCTAAACTTCCAAAATCTGGAGAATACGAAAAGATTACCTACCTACTGAGAACCAGAAAACATTTCTAAACTAATTTTAAAAAATTAGGGCAAAGAAAATACGACTTATAGTTTGTAGTTTTATGTGGAAACCTTGAAAAATACATGAAGTGCATACATAACCGACAATACGCTCTCACTTAAATACCAAACTATTCATATTTGGACAATTGAAAGTTAACTTTTGAACTCTCTTCTGGAGGTTTTAAATAATTCCAAAGCCAGAGAGAAACAGATCTCCAGCACAGAGCTAAGAAAACTAGCGAAATGAAGACTCGTGTATGATTGATGAAAAAACTCAGACCTTGCTATTACTGACATCCATCGTATGCCTTGAAGCATCTTCAGACATTTTTATTTGAGATCTGAAAACAGAATATCCAAGTTCTTACAACTTTAGTTTAAAGTGAACCATATCAAGCTTAACTATGACAATGGATTATTTTGGCAATACGATGATGAGTGCCGATCACGTGTTCCAACGCTTAAAATAATAGAATTGAACCATATCACGTACTCCAATACTTATAACTACTAGCATGGTCGCAATGGACATTAAGTTAGTAAACGAAATTCAATTAAGACCGATTAGCAAACTATACGTCAATTAAGCAAACTATACGCAAACTATAATATATTAAAACTATAATATTAAGCAAACTATAATATATCTAACC